GTTTCACGGATGAAATCTTTAAAGTTACAGAAACGGTACAGCGATCTCCTCCGGTATTCAAACTGGAAGATTTAGACGGAGAGCAGGTTCGAGGTTCTTTTTACGCAGAGGAGCTTCAAAAACTAAAAATGTCAAAAAACAAAATGTATCAAGTGGGAGAGATATTAAAGAAGCGCACCGTGCGGGGAGTCCAACAGGTCTTAGTACGTTGGAAAAATTGGCCGGAGAAATTCAACAGCTGGGTGAGAGCCGATGACCTGCGAGATGTATAAAAGAGAACGCTGCTCCCAGACGGCTGACAATGCAACATGGATCGCATAACTGAGGATGAGGGATTTTATCTGACGCTACCCTCCAACGCTAGTCTCAACGTGTTTAAGGATAATAACATATCGAGTTTCCGCGTGGATTTAGCCGAGCATATTAACCTACAAGGTCAGTGGCAAGTGGCTTTGACAGAGGTTTCTTATCCACACACGTGGCATAACGTCCCTGCGGAAAAAGCCTACTTTGAATGGCGGAAAGTGGAAGAGGAAAATGTCCAACGCGTAAATATTGGAAACGGATACTACAATAATTTGAAACAGCTTATAACAGAGATTGAAGCCCATCTGAGAAAGATAGATTCAGACATTTATTTCAGGGTTAACCGGCTCGCAAACCTACTCACCTACCAGGCCGGTGCTCAGTACCATCTACGTTTTCACGCTCCACTAGCCTACATGTTCGGCATGGAACCAGGAAAATGGATTAAATTTGACCACTGGCATGCACCGCATCCTATAGATTTTAAGGCCGGTTTCTACCACCTCTATTTTTACAGCGACGTTGTTGCCCCGCAGATGGTGGGGGATGCTTACGCACCCCTCTTGCGTACGGTTCAGGTGGAGGGGGTGTTTGGAGATGTTATCACGCAGACCTTTCATAATCCCTACTATCTCCCAGTTGCCAAGAAACATATTGAAAATATACAAGTAGAAATTAAAACTGACCAGAACACCCCGGTGAAATTTACATACGGAAAGTGCATCGTGAAACTACATTTCAGACCTGTGACCTCACAACGAGCCTTCAGATGAAACAGAATGTACTTATAAAAACGTGTGATTGCGGTTGGAATCATTCATAGCTGTGCAACCGGTCACACCTGCCACGTTGCTTCGTGCTAAAAGTTGGGAAGAAAAAACAAAAAGGTAGTAAAAACCAAGAAAACATGAGTCAGATAAATCTGAGAGATGACCCGCACCGTTTTGTCTCCTATTACCAGAATCAAGTAGGGGGCGCATTACCCGGTTTCTATGGTGCCCCCGTTATGTACGGTCGGGGGATAGGGTCTCTGTTTTCAAGGTTATTTCGTTTTGTGTCACCTTTAGTTAAATCCGGCTTTGCAATTGTTAAACCTCATCTGAAAAAGGCTGCCACAAACATCGCCTCGGATGTCATAGGTAAAGCTATGACGAAAATATCAGGCTCGCATCAGGGTGTGAATAACCAAGAGGGGTCAGGAGTTATGGTTCTATCAAGAAGAGCTAGAAAGAGACCTCCGGGGCAACGTGTTTGGCGTTCACAAATACTCGCGTCACGTAAAAAGAAGAAATCAGTTGGGAGAAGCAAAGCCAGAGGGAGGAAGTCTGCAGCGAGCAAAGATATATTTAGCTGAATTATTATTATTTTTCAATAAAAATTCAATCATGGCTCTTTTACATCAGAAATATCGAAGCCCCTAGGGAAGGGATTTATTTTCAAACCTTTACTCAATATCTATCGAAGAAAGGTTACACGAAATATTACCCAATCAGCTTTTACAGACCCCGGGCCCAATCGATTTTTTATTCCGAGATGGAGAAAAAATACCTGGATTTAAACGCCCTTTTACGACCCCGTGGAAGATCACAACCGGTGGAAGCAACCAAAACCGGGACGCGGCTGTCGGACTGCTGAATTACCCCTGAATACAAGTTCATCAAGCAATTTATTTGGGAAAATTTTAATTTCACAGTCGAGCGCGACTACCCCGAAGAGAAAATATTGAAACCTTCAAAAACTTTTCGGAAGACACTTTAAAGGCAATTCACGAGGTTTTTTTACAAAGACACAGCGGAGCTATAGACTGTTGTTGGAATAATGGCCCCGAACAGGGGATGAATCAGAGACCCCTTTTCAAAAACTAATTTCCCCAGAGAGCTGCATTGAGGCCCCCTTCACGCAGAATTTTCTTCATGAAAGCTGCTTTTAAATTCTGTAGATATAGGGTTAAAAATTAATCAGGGCCACGAGCATTCTTTTCCCAGGGATCGTGATTCAACCTTTTTCGATTAAAAAATTTTTTTTTGGGCGCTTTCTTTTTTTGAAAAAAGTTAGGGTATCCCAGCATGGGCTGGGCAGCTCATTTTAAAAGGGGGAAATGCCCTCAAACCCGCTTTCACGCGTGAATGTAAAAAATTTCTCCCTAAAAATTTCTAGGATTTACTCAGGAAAACCCTTTTTTTTGGAGCCATACCAAAATACTTTTTTTAGGAAGGGTTTTCACCAAACCTTTACAGGAAAAAAAAGATCTGTCCCCTTTCCCAACTTTAGGCTTTTGGATGTTGAATAATGGCGCTCTGTAAAGGGGCAGAACTCCCACCCAAGCTTTTTCAACCCAATTTCAACAAACGGTATCTCATCGGGGAATTTTAAGTTCAGCTACAGGTCGTCATTTAAAAGACCTTCCCTCTGACATCGCTCGCGGGGAATTCAAAAGTTACCCCTTTTGTTTTTAATCTCAATCCGGGGAGGATCTGACGCGCTGTCCCAGTATTAATGGTAATTTGAGACGGGAAATAATTTCGGGGGCCCGTTCCCCTCATACAACCTTGATTGTGTTCGTGTTACGACTAAATATGGAAATCGATTCAAAAAAGGCGGGTCTTGGGGTTTTTTTTTAAAAAAACATGAATAACCCGAGCTAGAAGCCTGATGCTCACCTGTTGGGGGCTTTTTTTATGGGTTTTTGGGCTGGACACCTCCCGTTACTCAAACGACGACAAGGGCCCCCGCCTATTTAACGTAAACCCTCATTTTCACAATCCCTGGAAAACTGGTGCTCTGTTTTGGAAGAAAATATTCAAGCCACCTTTTCGACTCTTAGGGTTCCCTCCAGTTTTTTTGATTTCTATCCCTAAGAAATTGTGTAATTTTGAAAGACAGACCCTCAAAAATATTGTATCATAATGTCAACTTAAAAATTTATCTTCTTTGTGTGCCGGGCATCATGTGTTTATTTCTGTGTCTAAACGTGGGGGCTATCGGTGCATGAAATTTTGGCGACCTACGCGATGGAGTTTATAAAAATGTGTTTGGATTTGATTTTGTGAAAAATATCCGATGTATCAAAAAGAGGGCCCTGTTCATTTAATCATGGAACTTTTTCTTTACAAATGTTTAAAGATTGCTCAAACTTAAGATAAAAAAAAAAAAAAACACGTCCTGAATAATTTGAAACAATAAAAGACTTTATTCCAAATTTTTTATCAAGTTTTTTTATTAAAATAATTAGTATCAGGGTGAATTTCAGCCATTCCGGGGTTTTTTAAAACTCTTCCCCTTCTTTGTTTTTTTTTTTTCCCGAATTTTTTTGGTCCTTTTTTTTTTTTCATTCCAAAATATACTCAATTCCTAGGAATTTTGGTGAAAGGTTTTTTTTTTTTCCCTTTCCGGAAACATCTCCTTTTTCCCCCTTCCCCCCTTTCGCTTTTTCAAAGTTGTTTTTTTGGTTGGGATTTGGAAAAAATGGTTTTTAAGCCCTTTAACCCCGTCCAAAATCCACCCTAAGTTGGGGTTGGTCTTTCCTCTTGGGGGACTTTTTCACAGCGAGAAACCCCCCCACCACGCCCCGAAAAAATTATTTTTCCCAGCCCCCCTTTTCCCGGGTTTTTTTTAAAAGTATTTTGCTTTTGGAATCCAAACTTTTTAAACTTCTTCCTGAAGTCCCTGAGGGTTTAAACCAAATTTCTTTTATTTTCGGTTTGTTTGCTGGTGTTGTGTGTGGGGTTTTTGTGTTGTTTTCTGGAAAAACCTCGGGAAGGGGGTGTATTTTTTAATTTTTTTTAAAAATTGGTTTTGTTTTTAATTTTGGTTTTCCCTTCATTTTCGATAAAGCCTTGGGGGGTTTCAAACTTTTTTAAATTGTGCGGTAAAACGAGAACATCTTTTGACCCGCTAAGAGATTTTTCTCATCCCCTTAAGCCCCCATATTTCCCAATTAGGCGCACAACACTGAGCGGGGGGAAAAAAAAAGCCCCCCGTTTTTTCGAGCCAACTGTTGGTTTTTAAACCCCTTTTTTTTTCAGCCAGCCAAAATGCTTTTTCTGCCTTTGCAATTTTTTATGTTGAGAAGGAGATATTTTAACGTTACCTTTTAAGATATTCAGAGCTATCTCACACAAGGCTTTAAGAAAGTCGGGTGAGCAGTGAGCGAGAATGTCTTTGCGTTTCTGTGGAGTAGCGTGATACAGAGCTCTGAATAAGGGAGCGTTCCTTTTTATGCGGGCTGACATGATGAATTAATTAATTAGGCTTAGGTAGATACACAACAGGCCACTGACCAGGGAGCATACCCGATCTCAGTCTGAAACGATCTGGGCAAGTCGGAGTCAGATCAACGATTAAATAGCCGTGAGGCTCTCTGGCAGCGTCTTCAAAACTCTCCATAAAAAAAGTCTTCTCTGATGGAAATATTTGGCGGGCTAATATATTCAGCTGCAATTTATCTCTGGGGTTCTTAAATAACACCATATAATTACTGTTCAAGCTGATGGTACGACTGTACTTCCCTTGGTGAAACACGTTCTGAGTCAACATCATCACACTCATATTTCTATGATGTCTGTATTGTGTAAAAATCTTGACCACTTCTGGATGCTCCGAGGCCTGGAAAATGACATCGTCCAAAATGACCAAATGATTTTGGTCGCGAGGAAACAGATTTTCATCATCAAAAGAATGAGGTAACCCCTCGATGAATTTAATATTTTTATTCATTTTTTGCAATTCAGCATACAGACTTTGAAAAGAAGTATAGATCCATACAATATTTTCTGGTACAACATCCATGACATGGTTACATTTCTGCAAAACATTTTTTACAAAGAAAGATTTCCCACATCCACTAGGGCCTACAATCATACATGAAAAGGGTGTTCTGAATCTTGGGTCAAATTCAATCTCCTGTGTTTCAGAGGAGAGAGACATTTTTTCAGTTAACACTTAGTAACCAAAAGGCAGAGTTGTTCCGTCGGGAAAAAGCCTTCTCTTGTCATACACCACACGGAACTTTTTCTGAAATGTGGCATTTTTTAGCTGAAAGCTTCTTTTATCTCGCCTGATGGTACATTGTGGAGCTTCTAAAACGACCCCTGTAGAACCTTTCAAATAACCTTCCACCAGGTCTTTCACACTATCAAAATTCACCCTCTCACTACATTCCTGAGTTTGAGTGATGCCTTTAACGCGCATCACAACCTTTTTCCGGTTTCTGGTCTGATACGCGTAGCTTTTGGGTCCTGTCGATGCAAATTCCTGAATCGTGTCACCTCCCAGCTCATCCGTTAAATCACCCAGATAATTCCCCAGCTCCAAGGGAGTCTCACCCGGTTTAACCACATAAATGAGGCTGTCGGTATCTATGTACAAAACTCGATGCTGAAGTTGTTCGAGACAGGTGTACAGTTTCAGACGAGCGTATGCTGTGGTGAACGCTGCGATAAACACATTATTTACCTTGTTGGGTGGAGAGATGCAGCGCTTGTTGTATTTCCACTGAACCATACACATTTTATCGGTTAGAAAGTGAAAGTAGCTGACTGTGTATTTACCTGAGAACAAAAAGTCAAAAAACTCATCAGCCTTGCACACGATGGTAGTTTGAAACAGGTCATTTCTTTGTGCAAATTTCCCCCAAAAACTGTTCAGACATAGTTTAGCCATCTGTCTTTTAGCAGGATTCACCTCGATGTTGTCCACGTTCAGCTGGATGCCCTGATTAAGTTTGTAGTCTGCTACATACTTTAAGCGGCTCTCCTCATCCGTTGCTTCAGCAGGGAAGCCTGAAGCTTCCTGTTTACCCTTGAGAAATTTGTGAATATACGGTTCAAAAATTGAACTGCTTTTTTTCTCAAAATGCCAAACCTCAGTGATTTTTGCAACACGGTAACCGTGTTCTAACGCTTTACAAAGCTCGACACTGACCCATACTCCCCTCAGCGCTCTCTCCTCATCAGAGTGGGTGCAGGAACCTGCCTGGTAGTTAATTTCAGCACATGCACGGCAGAGAGTGAACACCAGTTTACCCGCAGATGTCCTGTAAGGTAAAACAGGAAAAAACAGACCGCGGGGAGGATACACCGTAGCTTTAATTAACCCGTAGTAGTTGCGGGGATCATCAAAATCCCGGCAAATGATCTTGGGATGACCTAGGGGGTAGGGGAAGTTGGAATTCACGTACGGGTACAGAGAAGTAAAATCAACATAATGCACCGCTTCCTCTTCTCCTGCACTGTACCTGAGTCTGAGAGCAGACGTCCTGCCACCGTATAAAGCTTCACGCGGTGAGAGAGGTTCTGGGGCGTTAAAACCTTCCAGAAAACTTTTGACGCCTAAGCGCGACGCCTTCAGCTGGACCCAATCGTGCTCCCAGACAACCTCTAATCGCACGCTGTAAACTGACTGTAATATCCTGGCTCTCTCGATGGTGGCTGAGTGGATTGCTTCAAAGCAAACACCCCTGAGAGGACAGGTGCGGTCAGGTAGAAAGCAGGTGGGACAGCCGTGAAAAAAACACCCGTTGAACTCGAACACAGTTTTGACCCCGTCCACTTCTGCGTACCCATCCACATAATAAGGGCCAATTTTCTTTTCCCCTCCATTTAACGCATGCTGAATCTCTATTCCCCTATCATGAGCTAACCATTCTAGCCACTGAATGGACGCGTTTGAAAATGTCTTACACTGACGCCTGTAGTCCACCGGCGAGGGTATGGCTAGAGTATTAGGAGGAAGGAAATTGGATGTGAAAACCTTCATGCAGGCTGCGGCGATTGTGATGCATTTTAAAGGATCCACGTTCGTCTCTTTAAAGAACTCTTCCCTGAATTTCACACAGCCCATGAAAAGAATCTCAACATCATTTTGACAATAATAAAGAGCTTCTTTCTGAAAGTCAAAGGATCGCTCGCACGCCTGGCTGTACCAGACGTTAAACCGTTCCTGCTCTGCGGGGTTCATGTGTTCGAATGCGTAGAAGCTGGGGGCAGGGAGCGGGCCGACATATTTTAAATTGTTCTCAGAGGAGAACAAATGGGGAAAAAAACCTTTACTGTGATCTGTGAAGCCTAAAGCTTTCGGCATTTGACTCAGTTTCATAGCAAGAAATGAAAGGCTGTCAATGAATTTCAGAGCGTAATCTGGTTCTGTGAAACAGAGGATTTTGCTCCCCTGGGTGATGAGGTGCGGTTTAATACCCATCTCCACCATCACCCTGAGAATCAAGTAAGAGTCATAGCCCCGGGCGTTATGAGCGATAAATGTGTAACCCCTATACCGGGGTTTTCTGAACTGAAGCAGAAATTCACGGACGCAATTCAGTCCGTAAGCGTGCCAGAGATGACCTTTCCATGTTTTGGTACAGACAAGAAATGGGATGTGCACCCCGCTCTGATCGAAAAAACATTCGAAATCATAAAAAAACCAGTTTATCAGTGAGCTCTCCATCAGTAAGGCTAGGTTGAATGTAGCACTGATGTTCGTTTAACGTTACATCAATGCTACCAGGCACTTTCTCATGACAGATGGTGCATTTTGATACACAGACGTGACCCCTGCTCTCTCCTCCTGCCGATACATGATGTAGTTTTTTACACGCAGGACAGTATTTTGTTGTTTGGCAATTACTTAAAAGCTTCCCGAGTTTAGGTTTCTCTCTGGGCTCTCTGTGTTTAACAAAGCAGAATGAATTACGACAGATCCGGTTACAATCTGCGCAGCGTACAGAGCGGGACTCTTGGAGAGTACAGCCCGGATCGTGGCATACGGAACAATGACCCCCGCAGTTATGTGTGCTGATGTTTTCGTAACCGGTAAAGCAGTAACTGCAGATGTACTTGGTGCCGGTGAAACCCAGCAGGTTTTTTACCCCATAATAATGATTTTTGAATAAGAACAGAAAAAGAGGATTTGAGCGATCTGGAAAGTCTGTCTCGAATTTACAAAGCAGTGCTTCCCCATCGCTTTTATAGAATACCACAATTTTCCTATTCACTATCTTTTCAAATTTTTGCACATCGCTGAAAGTCACGGGGGTTTGCTCAGTCAAACCTGCCATAAGCTGCCATTCTCTAGCTTGATGCGTGGCTTCTGCGTCTGTAAAAGACGGGTTAAATACATGTGCTAGACTGATTGAGAAACATAGCTGATTAGAACAATTGTCAATGATATACAAATGACGTTTCTTTTTATGAATCAGCTCGCAGTCTAATGTTTTTACAGCTTTACGCTTTGCACCGCCTGTAGGGTTTCTCACAACCTGAAGAATTAGTTCTAAGTTGCTATTTGGTGGGAGCTCTGTGTTGGACTGTACAAGCTCGTCTAAAAATTCCTGAAACCCCGCCAGAATTGAATCAGGTTCATCATTTACTTGAACAATCGTATGACGAGAGAATCCCTCCCCGCTTAATTCTAACTGCACAATATCGTTACGAGCTGCTGATTGTCTAGCAGAGTTAGCAAGCTCGACAAGTATGTTATGTACCTGTGTATAGAATTCTGCGAGATTAGGAACGTCACGGGGGCATGCAGCAATCACATTGAAAGGACGTCTTATCTCTGTAACATTAAAATGCTCACGTTCAACATGGGGTGCATGGGTTACCTGACTCTGTTCAGGGGTGTCTACCACCTGCTGATCCCGACTCATGTCGGGCTGAACCATTCGGTCAGGTATGGGGGCGGTGGAGGAAGGAGTCAGGTTCGGCTGTTGAGGTAGGCTGGATGTGGGATTTTGCAGAACATTACTGGAAGAATCACTTTGATTACTTTCAACGTTTTCTATAACCCTCTGATCGATATGCCCTCCTTGCTGCTGAAACTGACCCTCTGTAGGATTAGGGGGGGTTAAGGACACATTTTCTTGCAACACTGATTGAGGGACAGAAACGTTTAATTCTTGGATCGCTTGTTCTAATGAGAGTAAATGCTCCAGATTTCTATCTGCGTTTATTTGTTCTTCAGGGGATGGTGGATATATATTGACAAAATCGGATTCATACTGAACAGGTATATTCTTAAGGTCATTAACAGCCTGTACCATTACATTCAAAGCAGCTCTCATTTGCTGATTATCCATATTTTACAGAAGTCACAAATTACTTAGTTAACTCAGTTGTTGAACAGTTCATCCATCAGGATGTGGCAGGTTCTCAGAAGCACCCTGGATCTTGATCTGTAGCCTCCGGATCGACGCGGCCCACAGGTCGGTATCCGTTCCACCGTTGATGAAGTTTCTGTAATACGGAAGACAAATCATAATTAGGTTTTTGTCATTTATACATTTATTATATCACAAACTAATTGTAAAAAAAAAAATAAATTTAAATTGAAATTAGAAAATCTACCTGTAATCATGCGTCTAGCGGTCTCCACCTTGGAGGCAATCCTAGTAATGCTTTGCTGGAGGGCTCGTACCATTGATCGTAGTTTATTAAAGGTCGGTCTCTTCTTCTTCTTCTTCTTAATGGGGAGACTTGCACGCCTTGGGGCCGAGGGTACTGTGAATGAAAAAACACAGAGAGAGAAGTTAAAACTTTAAATCATGAAATACAATCGGTATTGATTTAAGAATATTAGGGTTAAAAGGCACACTTATTATTAACTTACGGGGTAGTGGGTTTTCCCTCTCTGATGTGCTGATTCCAGCTTCAGTGAATGAAAAAATAGAGAGAGAAAAAAAAACAGAGAGAGAGGAAGAGAAGTTAAAACTTTAAATCATGAAATACAATCGGTATTAATTTAAGAATTTTAGGGTTAAAAGGCACACTTATGATTAACTTACCAGGTAGTGGGTTTTCCCTCTCTGATGTGCTGATTCCAGCTTCAGCGATAGGAAGTGGATGGTCTGGTGGGCCAGCTTCAGCGTGTGCTACCGCTGTTGTTTCAGAGCGGGAGACGGTCAGCGCTCGTGGGGAAGTATCGGGTGAAATTATTATTACAGATGCGTCATGATGGTTGATGCCCTGTCGTTCTTTCTTTAGGGTAGATGTTTTTTCAACGGATAGTTGAAATTCAGGAAGTAAACTCTTTTTGACTTTGGAAAGAGTCAGCCTGTTTGTTGAATGTTTCTGACCAGGTTTGAAGCCGGGCTTCTGGTCCAGCTTCAGGTCCTGCTTCGGGTCCTGCTTCAAGTCCTGCTTCAGGTCCGGTTTCAGGTCCTGCTTCAGGTCCTGCTTCAGGTCCAGCTTCAGGTCCTGCTTCAGGTCCGGCTTCAGGTCAGGGTTCACCCGAGGCAGAATACCAGGGAGATGGCCGGGTAAGATTCTTGGGTTATAATGAGGAGCGGGCTGTCCATATTGAGAATCTATTAAACCTACAAGATTTAATAAGGATTTAAAAAAAAAGTAGAAAAACAAAATGGTTAAAACAATTTAATAGTATTTTACGATATATTGAAATAAAATTGAATAAGAGGTTTAAATATATCCTACCAAGATCCGTTATGAAATCATCCAGATTGATTTCAGAGGGTTCTAGGAAATAAATTAAAATATATATCGTCATTATCCTGAGACAGATCATATAATCCCACCAATAGGGTTTATTACAGTGAGAACAAGTTGTTATTTCTGACAAAAAACTTATACCTCAACTTAAAGCAAACTTTATGCTCTATGACATTACTCAATGAAAGTCTGTGGTGTTAAAACAGAGACAATCCATTACGCTGCATACGCAGAACATCAACTCAGTATCTTAAAGTATATTAAACATTGCTAAAATGCTGTAGCTTATAAATACAGTTAGCTAGTACTTAACTTACTCCGGGATAATGCGTTGACCTCCTGAGACAGCTCAAACCCAGGGTTATGCATTTCAGCAGATACAACACGGGTAGAAGGATGTGAAGACATGATCTCGCTTACCTCAGAGTCCCGGATGCAGTTCAGTCAAGGGACCAGAAGAAGTGTTCTTAAATACACTTTTTGCAGCTCCATCTAATGCCTTGTGACGCTGTGACGCTGCTTTGTGACGCTGTGGCTCCACCTTATCAGCTGATCAAATCAGGATGTGCCAAAGACAGATACCGCGACTTTTGAATAATGCTACGCCACGCTGTTCCCAAATCTAATAAAGACGCTGACACATCCTCTTCCGTATGAAAAGAAATCTGATTCAGACCATGGTCAGGAAATCCGCAAAGAGTCCCTCATCTTTTTCTAAGTGGTGTATTTTTTACCCCCTCCCAAGGTCCGAGTTCCTCCTGGTGGACACTATCGCCTTTGTATAGAATGCCCCGGTCAGCCGTCATTAAGTCACCCATCTTAAATGTTTCCTGAGTGAGAACAGGTCAATCGAATTAGATAACACCGTGGCGCGGTCCGAACCCCATCATGGTGCAATCCCTCATCAGGAGACCCTTAAGACGGACACTGTCGCCTTTGTATAGAATGCCCCGGTCAGCCGTCATTAAGTCACCCATCTTAAATGTTTCCTGAGTGAGAACAGGTCTATCGAATTAGATAATAGTGTGGCGCGGTCCGAGCTCCTCATTGGTGCAACCCCTTTACATCAGGAGACCCTTAAGACGGACACTGACGCTTTTGTATAGAATGCCCTGGTCAGCCGTCACTAAGTCACCCATCCTTGCTGGAGAAAGGTTGGGTTCACACAGCAGCCTAAAGTGACCCAGATCTTTTCCACTACAACCTGTGTCTGAGCGAGCACAAGAAGCGGCTAGAAACACAACAACCATGGTGGATGATAATGTAGGGGAGCATTTTATTTATTCATTTTTTCTAACCATCTTAAAAAGATTGTGTTTTTAAGTTTGAGAAAGACTGCTAAATGCAAGCTAAACCTTCCCTCCATGTTTACTTCCGTAAACGTGGAGCAAGGCGGCTTGTGACGTTATTGAAGTCTCTACTGCGCATGTGGGACGCTTAAACCGTATGAATGGACAAAATTACACATTTGGTTTTTTAATAGACCGATAAATATACATGTGCATCATGATTGGTTGTATATATATCTACATATAAATATATATCTATATCTATATATATATCTATATATATATTTAGATATATATTTAGATATATAGATATATGGATCCTAGTCAGTGAGGCAGAGGGCCACATAGAAAGGCACAGGGCAGAGTGAGGGGGCCGCAGCCGCTGCAGCGAGGGGTTGGGGGTGGGGGTTGGTGGGATGGCTGCACGGTGTGAGTGTGAGTGAGTTGAGATCACAAAGCTGCTCCAGCTGCTGCTGCAGGCAGAGGCTGAATGCTAACAGTGATTATATAAGAAATCAATACAAATACTTAAAAATAATAATTTAATCATCATAACCGTCATTAAAATAACATAGTTCATTTTTATATAAATTTTATATTAATTTTATATAAATTTTATATTAATTTTATATTAATTTTATATTAACTTTATATTAATTTTATATTAATTGAGGCGGGACTTCCGGCTGTCACTTTGGAATGTGGGCGTGGTTTTCGTGATTTGATGAAAGGTAGGGTATATTCTTTTTTGATATAAAACGACAACAAAGCTGAGAAAATAAGTTGAATTAATATCTCTGCTCATCCTTGGATACACAAGCATTTCCAACTTGGAGGTACCGTGAAATGACACTTTCAATTGGGGTCAATTGGACCCGTGCCTCTGGATTTCAGGCAGCTCCTTCTGCCTTGGGGTAATCAAAGGCCAGAAATGTAATTAGAGTAAGTGGAGTTCAGACAGTGTAAGTGAACATTTGAGAAACACTAGGGGTCAGTGACAGTCCATGTTATAGTGAAGTGAAGAGACTCTATAAAAAATTTCCAGAGTAAGTTTTAGGATGCAGAAAAAAAAAAAGTTACAGAAGATCAAAGGTGGCACAAAATGTATAAAGCTGCACTATACTGTATGATGATAGAAACTGTTTTTGAAGATAAAGGAACAAATCAGGCTGCAGTTTTACCAAACACTTTAAAACCTGTTGTCTTCTCTTTTTTTTTTTACCCATGTTTGATACCACATCTACCAGACCTATAAACAGAAGCCAACTGTAAAAACTGTAATATGGCTAATAAACCGTTATTAGCTAGCAAGTTATTTAGTTTTTTACATTTGCTGAATTAAAATAGTGTCAAGTTTACAACAACAACCTTTTTTATTAAAATAAATTATGAAATACTGGCCCTAAATTAATTAAGTAAAATGGGATTTTTCAGCCTGGGGAAAAAAAATCTATTTTGGGGTGCTAAATTTGACCTTAAAGAGAGATTGTGTAAGTTTTTACTGAAAAATATATATTTAAAAGCTTTATATTAAAGATGGATTTGTCGACCGCAATCCAACTCAGCTCAGAGACCAATGGCAACTCCACGTGAATGACTGAATATAGTGTATAGAGCTTTGGTCAAGTCTCCTGGGTTGAAAAAGCACTATACTGTATAAATACAGACCATTTATCATTTCTCCAAATTAAAACTCTTAAGGCTCAGTAAGTTAAGCTTCAGTGTTTCAAATCAATGAACACATTTTACATCAGAACCTGAAGAATAAAAATAAATATAATCATTTCACTTTTCCAGGGCTTTACTTTCGCCAGACCTATACTTTTTAGTTTATCTGGGACTATGGACTTGTGGGGTTTTGTACAGCTGCAGTGCTTAGTTTCCACCAGCGGTAGCAGTAACTGATAAGGATGAGTATAAAAATGTTGTTTTTATACCTTTAATTTGTCATGAAATAAGTTTTAGGATGTTTTTAAGTAAGAAAGTACACAATAAAACCTCCTCTGTGTCATCAGTGCATCAAGAAATAGCCTACTTTTTAATCTGTGATAAAGGCTGGGCAGGCTGTTGTGGGCTGCAATCTCTGGCCATAACGCTGGCCAGTCAGGTGGTCATTACTTGTTGGTTGTTTTAAGATGTTTTGAAGCATAATTTTATCAAAACTTTATGTATAAAGTACATGAGGTTTTGTCTCTTAATAACATCAGGTTATTAATTGCTTGTACATTATGACTTACTTAAATAAATTATATTTCTACAAAAACATTTTATGTTTCCTCTTTAGAGATATAACTGTTTATCATTATAACAAAAAAAAATTATGTAAATCAGTATTTAGGAGGTTTTTATTTATGCAGTTATTGTCACAGTGGGCTGGAGGTCTGACAGGAGGACCCCAACACAGACTACAGCTCAAGGAGGTTACTTGAAGATTATCCAAAAAAAGTTTAACAGAAGCAAAAATCCAAAAACATAAATACCCACAACAAAGGGCAAAGAAATAAGAAAATCCGGCAACAGTCACTGAGCAGGAGATGCATATATTGGAGAGAGAAACAAAGACCAGGCTAATCAGCAGATTGGGAGCAGGTGTGAACAGAGCAGTCTAGAAGGGAACTAAGGAAAGGACTGACACAAGAGGGCAACAGATGGTAAAAAACAAATAACTAAGAACTTAAATACAATAAAAAATAACCAGAATAACACAAAGTGGAAATAAAACCAATGGAAATTCAAAGATAAAACTTAAACAGAACCAAAACCATGACAGTTATAAAGCAACTCTGGAAAGACTGATATAAAAAAATTAATATCAAATGACTGAACTTTTCTAGTGGGCTTTCAGTGGAAATGGGGCTGAAGTGCACAATGTAGAGTAACAATACAGTTACAATTGCCATCTCAACTGATCAAATTGATTATGAATTGGGTTTGCATGGTTGTTATATGACCATTCACTGCTGTAGTTTAGGGCTTGGAGAAACAGCCTGATCCTATGTTATCTCTTAAGACATCAATAGAGTCAAACAATCATAATAGGAGCAGGAGATTTATCCAGTGCTTCAGCATCTTCTTCAGACCTAGATCAGAACCTTCTTAGAGACCACAAGAAGGTTCTGATCAATGACCTCAGCCTTCAAGAGGAAGTACTGGTGTCTAAGGAGAGAGCCTGATCATTCATATTTCTGAAAATCACCATCAAGATTTTGCCATGAAATACTGTGTTTTTGTTTGGACAAAAATTAACTTTTACATTAGTGTAAAACAGATTATACTAAATTTGTCTTTTAAAAACAACATAAGAGGAAAATACTTTTCACATAAGTCTATGTTAAACTCATTAGTGCAAATAGTAGTGTAAATTTTA